TTTAATTTCATCTGAGTGTATTATTTCAAATTTCATATTAAAATATTCTATTGCTTTATTTTTGCACTATATATAAAATGAATATACGCTTCTTTTATTGTATTTATTATTATTTAGTGTCAGAAAGTTACTGTGCGTTGAATAGTTAACAAGGGAAGTAAATTTTGACGTTCGGCAAGAGGAAAGAGAAAAAGAGAGAGGGAGATTATAACTTGTAATTATATACAATGTGAAATGAATTATAAATTGAAACCTTCGTTGAGAAGGAGAGAATTAAGTGAATTGTACGTTATTCGTGTGGAATGATGGATTATGTATATGTAAGTTCATTGAAATAGTTTGTAGATGGGTGGAAACCAAGCTTGTCGAGAGATACTTTGATGACGTGCTTTCCGGAGGAATATTCCTTTCGACAAAATGGCAAGCTCGTTGTCAGCAGCCGACAATGAAGTTCCGTTCCAATAGACGTATAGTCCGTCGTCGTCTTCGCTGTCGACGTCGTTCCCGCTTTACACCTTCAGTTTTGGAATTTGATCACGTGTGCTGGGTGTTGGAACGACAGGTGCCGTCTGCATACAAAACGTCTGCATTCTGTTCTCGCGGAGACTTGCAGCCATGAACCATTATTACCTGTCCTTTTTGGAAACAAACTATCGTCTCTTCTTCTTCTTCCTTCAGTTCTTTTTTTCTTCTTTCAGTATACCGCGGCTTGCTGCTGCATTTTCTTACATTTTGCCGCCTGCATGACGCGTGATATGCAAGCTGCGAAAACGAATATTCCACGCGTCTTGACTCCTTTGAAATATATCGCTAAAAATGAGAATTGGCCAACAACAATATAATGTCCTCGTTTCTTCAATTTCTGTCCTTTTTTTAATGTGCTATACATATCACAAAATTTTAATATCAAATAACAATATTGAATATAACTTAGTGAAGAATATTACATAATTATCACTTTTTTTCTCTTGAAAAGCTTGTATTTTCCTAAAATATGTATTTCTAATATTTGAAACCTTTTCTATTTAACAAATAATTTACATTTAGGTCTAAAATAAATTTAAATAAACGTTTAGCTTGGATTCCATATATACTTAGGCTATATTTCTCCATAATTTAAAATTTCTTGAATTTCAACTCATGAGAGAAAAACATAACTGTAAAAAAAAGTTGTAAATCCAGATGTTCACTACATGAACATTTTGCTTACTCTTTACGATCATCAAAAAAAATTTGCTTCCTCGTGGAGGAAGCATTAACGACAAGTATATTTAATTTTCAAATCATTTTTAATTCAATTTACCATTTATAAAATAAAGTTTAAAATAATAAAATTTTCTTTTACAGTGATATGAATCTAAATAAACAAAAAAATTTTTAGTAAAAAAGTGAATTTTTCAACTTTAATTGTAATTAATTCTATAATCAGTCTTGGTGCAAAGAATAAGATTTTAGAAATAAATGAGTAAGATTTTCTTGTACAGCAACATAATTTTGCGGAAAAAACTCATTTTTTGATAAAAATGCGAATTTTTCAGCTTTAATTGTGATTAACTCTATATATACATAAATTCTCATACAATTTATACTTTGTATAGACCAATCGATTCTTCTTGATGCAAAGAATAAGATTTTATTATATATTAACTTCAATAACCAATTTAAAAAATTTTTTTTTAGAAAAAAGTAAAAAAAAAATTTTTTTTGAGTATTTTTTAAAGTCTATCAATCTATTTCGAGATATTTTTATGATAAATATACCTGAAAAATTTTAGTCAAATTCGTTAAAACCTCTTCGAGTTATCGTGTTCACAAGAAACGGGATCCACACACACATACATACATCCGGACAATTGTTCAGGGTATTATAGGGGAGAGTGGGGCAAGACGGGGTACCGGCCTTATTTAACAAACGAATTAACCAATCGCGATTAGATTTTACATAATACTGCACCGAGACGATAGTTTCTTGTTTACAAAAACCTAAAAGCCATGGGAACAAATCTTTTATCTGTTTTACTAAAAAAACTGTTTTTAACGATTTTCTTGTCATTTTTTCACTTTTTTTAGGAGGTGTTTATTACATAATAATAACAGTTAATGAACTGTATACATTTTTTTCTAACTGTCAAGGGTTACAGAAGAAGGGAAGCATATGTTTTTTTTCTTTGTTGAATCGTAAATTGTAGTAATTAATCGTTTTATTCAATTTCGTAGGTGCGGGCAAGATGGGGTAGGGGAGAGTGGGGCAAGACGGGGTACACAAATTAAGCAAAAAAAAGAGAAATAAGAGAAGTTAAGAAAACTACTAAAATCAAGACTGAATAAAATAAGAGTGACCAAAAAGAAAAAAGCTTGTCAGGTTAAATCATCAATTAGCGATGGTAAAGTGGAAAATACACCTTGTCTCTATAGTAATGGTTATTATTTAGACTCAAATGAAGGCTGGGCTGCTTTTTTTGTCTGCGGCCAATGGGCTCACTGCAGTTATGCATGAAGCTGAAGATGCAACCTTTACTTGTGAAATTTGTCGGCAGAAATAGGTTGCTTTCTTGAGTACCCCATCTTACCCGCCGGTGGGGCAAGATGGGGAGATTTGCAATTTTTTCAATATTATTAATTATAAGCTTTTTTAAGAAACAGATAGCCTTTGTACACATTTTTTACGAAAGGCTGATTCCCAAAGATGATAATTAAAAATAATAATATAGTATATATATTCGATAATTTTCGTTCTTTTGCGCTTTAAACCTTAAGTACCCCGTCTTGCCTCACTCTCCCCTATAACAGTCCTATACAGAAGAAAATTTGTTTAAAGAATTTTTAAAAATTTTGTAAATTAAACGACTGCAAAGCTTCCTTTACGAAGAAATTTGGATCAATAACTTTTTTCTTCGCCAGAGAGAAAATTCATATCTCAACCAACGAATTCATTCAACAATTTTAATTCATTAAATATTATTTTGACACTTTTGAATTGAAAATTATAAATAACTTTTGAAAAATTCAAAAATTATTAAACTTTTAAGTTCCCATGGCATGAGGCAAATTTAACTTCAAAATTTAGATCAATTGTCGAATAAAATCCGGAAAATGGAATTCAATATTCAGTTTTAGATTTTATTTGATATAATCTCCTATTTTTCTATTGTCAAAAAGGTTTCTATTTTATCCAATAATTCCAATCAATTATTTATCTATTCGATTCAATATATCTCAGGGATATCTTATGGATATTTTAACAAATATCCTAGGAGAAGGAACTTTTTATATCCTGAGAATGTCTAAGGGATATTTCTGGATATTTGTAGGACGTCCTGTGGATATCTGTGGGATGTGTCATTTAATGTCCCAGTATTGAATCACTTGCAACTTTTTTCAATAAACTAACCTCGAAAAGTTTTCAAAACAGCTTGTCAACAATTTTATGTCATGAAATTAATATCAGTGTTGATATCTAATTTGAATATTTGTTTTTGTTGTATGTGTAGGTAAGTAAACTGTGTTAATAAAATTATTATTCACATATGATATTAATTTCTATTTTTATTAAATAGAGAGGATTATAAAAAGTACTCTAAAGTTTTTTAGTACGCACTTGTTTAAATGCAAATATAAACATTTTTAAAATTATTAAAATATATTATATTCTTTTTTTATAATTAGAATCAAGTTGGTTTTCTAAATATATGTTTATAAAGCAAATATCCCACAAATGTCTACCATGGATATATTAAGGATTTCTTAGTAGAGAAAACTTTTGATATCCCAGGGACATCCCAGGAATATATAAAATATTTTCTGCATATCTGTGGAATATCCATAATTTTTTCAATATATCCCAGATATATCTATTTGCTGTAAAGGCATTTTCCTATTCTTCCAAGTTTACCTTATTCGTATGGTACCTTATTCGTACCTTATTTCTTTGGTGGATAAAACTATTTTACTATCTGAACCACATTTCCATGCTGAAAATTTAAATTTTATTTTTGAAAAATTAAAACAAAACAACTACCCTTATAATTTCATAAAAAAGAATATCGATCAAAGAATACAATTTTTGACTTTGAAAAATAATAATAATAACGTTATAAATTTTGACAGAAAATTGATCGAACCTTCACGCACTATAGTAATTCCATATGTGCCTGATATTCTCAAACCAACCATAAACCTATGTAAAAAATTAAATATCTCAATAGTCTTTTCAACCCTTATGAAACTTCATAACAATTTACTTCCATCCCCTAAGGACAGAATTCCAAAATTCGAGAAGACCAACGTTATATATAAATTAAGTTGTAATGATTGTAACGGCATATATATTGGCCAGACAATACAAGAACTAAGAAAAAGAGTTTCTGCTCATAAACATTCACAACTACGCAAAAAGACCAACACAGCGTTATGTAAACACTCTACGAATTTAAAACATACATTTTGCTTCGACCAAAACAGCGTTAAAATCTTAGATGTCGAAGGTTCTTATAGAAACAGAAACTTTTTAGAAATGTATTACATCGCAAAGGACTCAAATTCCGTAAATTTCCGAACTGATATTGACAATCTATCAATAATGTATTTTGATATTATTGGAACATGTGATAGAATTTCGAACACTAAAGGACAATAATTCCGGTGCATACCTATACATCTATGAAATAACCTTCATATTATTTGAAGGAATTTCTGTCACTGTGAATCAATCTTTATATATTTTTTCTTCTACAGTTTGTGTTGTGTCATAGACTTTACTATTGTATATTTTATGTTTTTTGAAATTGTATCACTGTCCTTTGTAATGATGAGCACATGTGTTATTTATTTTGTTTATTATTTTTATGTTTATTTATCAATTTGGAATGTTCTGTTGGATTTTTATTTATTATAAAATGAAGGAAGTCTCGATGGATCTTGTTCAAACAAGAATCCAGTAAATCCGAACAAATTTTATTCCATTTTTTGACAGGTCTCGACTTTGAGGTTATGTTGGCCTTTAAAAACTTTTCGAATTTAAATTTTTTAAAAGTTTTATAAATTTGTATCATTGAACAATGTGGTAGGTCTATTCCACACACAATGTTGCTATTGATTTCATTTTTTCTATTTACTCAACTTTTTTATATTTTTTCTGTAGTCCTGATGAGCTGTGTTCACAGTGAAAATGCATTCGATGAAATAAAGTAATAATTGCTGATTTTTAACAACTTTCTCAAATCTTTTGGACCCAAGGCCACAATATAAACAATTTTATTTGACAAAAATTAAGGTCCTGAAAACACTCTACGTTATGATATTTAAAGAATTTATAAACTCAGACTCTCTAAATTTGAATCATCGGAAAGTCGCTGATTGGATAAACATTATAAGTATGCAGCTGATTCCATCAGCGTATATATGCTGAAATATCAGTGATTATTCGCTGTTTCATTAGTGAAATAAGCTTAAAATTTATGTAACATTTACAAGTTAAATTGTAAATAAAAAATAAAAATGGTGAACCTAATCTCAAAAATGTAAAATAAATGTTCGGAGTTAAAAATATAAAATAATTTTTGAAATTTTAAGAGGATTTATTTCTAAGTAGGAAAAATATTATTTACAAGAATTTTTTTAAGGGTGAGGAGGAAGATAATAAAAATTCTTTTTTTCCACCTCTTCCACAGTCCGAGTGTGAGATTAAGGTGACACTTTTCTCGTTGTTCTTCTCTTCGTATATCCGGCTTAACACTGGAGGCTTACAACCTTAGTGTTGAGAACTCTGTACTGTGTCCTGGCAATGCAAATATTTTCGCAAGCAGTAAACTATAGAACTTCCTGTTCCAATGTAAATTCTGGATCTGGATTAAGATGATTTAGTACCCGATGATGCTAGAAATAGAAATTTTGTTTTTTATTTTTCAAAAGAAAATTAACTAAAACGTTATTGTGCCTATTTTATCATTAAATAATAAAATTATTGGTATTATAAAAAAAATTAAAATTGCATTTTAAAACAGTTAAAAATTATATTAACTGATAATTTTATGAATTATTTTATTAAGGGCAGATGGGAGAAAAAATGGTTTCGTGATCACCGTCTCATTAAAAAAGAAAAGAATAAATTTTGAGTCGGTATTTTTTGGAAAATATAGAGAAACGCTCTGGGACCCGCGCCCTTCTCGGAATTTTGCAAAATTTTGATAAACAATAATTTAAAAAATTGTTTAAACATTCGGAAAAGAGGGTTTTGAAAGGTTTGGAATTCACGTCTCATTTTGAGACTATGAAATATTTCGGGTTCATATTTGCCCAGTGAGAAATTTCTTACCGGTCCAATATCGGTCCAATATTGGGAGCCAAGAGACCAATCATCAGTCCAATAAAGACTCCCAATATTGGACCAATATGGGCTGATGCTTGGGATGTAACGGGTTCGCCAAGCATCGGTTGTTAATATTGGTCCAATATTGGCCGAATATTGGCAACCAAGAGAAAAAATTTTTTTAAATAAATTTTTTTAATTAAATAATAATAACAAATTAATGTTTATAATTTTTGTTTAATATATTTATTTGTTTAATTATTTATTTTTAATAATTCATGTAAATAATAAATAATTTATTATTTTTAAATTATAACTATTTAAAAATGCAGCAACTATTAGGAAATAATCGAAATAGCATTCTGCAAAAAAATTCTATCATTGAAAAATCAATGATAGGCGAGAGATATTCGCGTCATTAAATAGATTCGCAGATATACTCTGGTCTCGCGACGAATCTCTCGATACTTATATACACTGGAGTCGCCGTGTCAGTTGCGAGAACGGTTACAGCGTCCCTCTTGCGGCAGAGATAAGAATTGTCACGTAAACTGCTAAATCGCTTTACCGACGGCCTTATTATACCCGCAGTTTACGTGACAAGTGAGATTCGTCGCGAGACCAGAGTATATCTGCGAATCTGTTTAATGACGCGAATATCTCTTACCTATCATCTGCGAATCTATTTAATGACGCAGATATCTCTCGCCTATCATTGATTTTTTAATGATAGAATTTTTTTGCAGAATGCTATTTCCTAATAGCTGCTGCATTTTTAAATAATTATAATTTATAAATAATGAATTATTTATTATTTACATGAATTATTAAAAATAAATAATTAAACAAATGAATATATTAAACAAAAATTATAAACATTAATTTTTTATTATTATTATTTAATTAAAAAAATTTATTTAAAAAAAATTTTTCTCTTGGTTGCCAATATTCGGCCAATATTGGACCAATATTAACAACCGATGCTTGGCGAACCCGTTACATCCCAAGCATCAGCCCATATTGGTCCAATATTGGGAGTCAATCGGCGCCCAGCACGGCAACCATTATTGGACCGATATTGGACCGATTAAAGTCTATTGGCAATTTCTCACTGGGTGGAGGGGTAATAGAGGAATTTCACTCACTGAGGCGCGCCCTTTTCCGTTTTTGCAATAATTTTGCGAAGAAATTATATTATTAACAATTGAAAGTGGAGTAGTTTTCTTAGTTCAGCCGCGTCCACTAGCTCGAATTGGCGCCACCTGTCTGTGTGCTCGCCGCTATATTGTCCGTCACTTTCGACAAAAATGCAACTTTTTAACTTACTTTTTCAATACTTATTTCAAAAATTACTTGCAAATTTCGAGAATATTCTTCATCAGCCCGCTTTTCTCTAATTATCCTGATAAATCCGAACTAGATTCTCTAATTATTTAGGAGTGAGACGTCGCGGGCAATCACTTTTTTCGAGGAATATTTCTTACATGCCCTTAATAACCTATTAATATGTTTATTTTTAATTTTAACATTTTTTGTTTCAGGTGAGTGATAATTTTGCCGTTTTTGAACGTCGTAATACGATTGTAAGTAGAAAATGTAGAAATAATCTTACGCTTTGAATATTTTTTAGGGTTCCGTACACCGTAGGTGTACTGACGGAACCCTATTGGTGAGATTCTTGCGTCCGTAGCCAAATCGTGTCCCCCCTAGCGGCTAAACTATTTGACCTAAAGAGCTCAAATTTGGCCCAGATAGGGGAGCGTGGGGTAATGGGAGCTTGCGGGTAATGGGAGCTTTTAAATTTCACGTACTTAAAAGCCTTCAAATTCGCTGCAATGTTTAGAAAATCTTCTACAACCTTTGTTTATATCATTCCAAAACAAACGATTACATTCTTGACAAATTTTTAGTAAAAACAAGGGAAAATGTATTTTTTGAGTTTTCGTTGTAAAATGCAAAATATTTCTAAACATCACCAAAGTAGTTAAAATCGTATTATTTAGTTTTGTTTTTTCATTATATTATTAGGTGAATATGTGTAGATATGTATACTTGTATAAAAATCGATATAATAATAAAATTTGTTTATGTTTTTATTTTTTTATTCAAATTTTGGCCTGTAAGAATTCTGTGGGGTAATGGGAGAAATAGTGTCAGCCCAAAGAATGTTCGTTACTATGTTGCGGATTTCGTTATTTCTTTAAAAATTGTAAAAGATATCACCTTATGAACAAACTTTTAATTAAAAAATAGTTTTTGGTGGAAAAAATGAAAAATTTAATTTTTTTCAAAAATTTTGTATTGAATTATAATTTAGGAAAAAATTTATTCTAAGTCTAAAGTTTTGGCTTCATTGTAAGTATTAACACTTTTTTCTATTAGAAAACAAAAAATATTCCTAAAAAATAGAAATTTTTTAAATTTTAAGTGAAAGCTCCCAATACCCCACAAATTGGGTGATCGCAAAAAATGTATTTTTTTTGGAAATTTTTTTTTTACAATTTACTTTCTCTTTTTAAGTTTCTAATTAAACATAATTAAAGATGAATAACGAAATGAGTAGAAAATGACAAAACAATGTATTATTGTAAAGATAAGTTGGTTTTTTTAATAACTTTCCTTAAGGGGCTCCAATTCCCCCACGCTCCCTTATGTATTTTCGCTCGTAGATTACAGGAAAAATATAGCGAATGTGATTGGAAGTGATGGTCATAGCGTTGTCAAGGAAATAACAAGATTTTTGGCCAAAAAAGCATAAAAAGTGACCATTCCCCCCCCCTTAACTTCTAAACTATTCGACATGGAGAGCTTAAATTTTGCATGATGGTGTATTTTTACTCGAATATTACAGGAAAAATATAGAAATTTTGATATGTAATAACGTCCATAGCGTTGTCAAAAAGAATTTTTTTCTCCTAACTTTTACATTATTTGACCTAATGAGCTAAAAATTGGTATACTAGTGTATTATTATAGTCTGACGACAAAACATTTATTTAAGAAACTTTTTGAAAAAAATTTAAAAACTTAAAAAAAAAAAATTTTTTTAAAATTTTTTAAGTTAAAATACGGCATTATACAAAACTTTAATTTTTTTTGTTATTTTTTTATCAAAAAATTTTAATATATTTTTTTAATTGTTTATTTTAATTCTACCAATTACCGATAAATGTTACAAGTATTGTTTTAATATTTGTGTACAGAACCCGCCATTGCAGTGCGAGTACAACTCGTTTATTTATTTTAAAGGGAATAAAGTTTCCTCCTCTCCATTTTATTGTAAATCTATGAATGCAAATTATTTTGCAAAAAGCTTTTCTGCTGATTTTCTCAACTTTTTTTTTCTTTTGAATAGTGACACCGTCAATCTTTGGCTTTTAAAACTCGTAAACCGACGATATTCTAGGCACGTTGACATCTGAAATATCGAATTTCCCATCCGTAAAAATCAATTTTGTCTCTTTCACCAGTGACGAACGTTTTCCCCCTTGTCTCGATGATATTTGTACGAAGAGACAGTATTTGTATTCTACGATGTCGTTTTGAAAATAGAAGATCCTGAAAGTAAAATAAGTAGAAAACCATTTCAAAGAGAAACAATATTGTTTCTTATTTATATATAAGGGTGGTTCTTATTTTGCGAAAGTTGACATTTTTTAGATAGCAGGCCTAAATTCAAAATAAAATGTAAAAATAATTGTTGAGCGGAATTTTCATCTCAGTTTGAGATCTTATTTTTTTCGTGTATTAATAAATATTAACTTTCTGCAAACTTTATGTTATACCTTTTCTATTTCACAAAAATCTGATACCTTATTAAATATTCTATAAATGGGACATTCCACGTTAGCCGAATCAGTAGGCGGTCCAAAATTCTATAGGACCGATCTCAAAGGTTAAGGTCTTAAAATGATCGTGAAAATGCCCTCTATAAAAAACAATCTGGTCTTTTGAATAATCCAATATGGCGGAACAAATATGGCGCATAAAGTGATTAAAAATAAAATGTTGTTTTGAATATCTTTTGATGTCAAGAAACATAGCACTGAAAAAAGTTAGTAATACTTTGTGCCTATGTTTTTGAGGTCGCTGATAACAAATCTGATGTCAAAATTTAAAATGGCAAAGCCATTATGGCTGTCGAATTTAAAAAAATTCATTTGATTTACTTTGAGCTTGTTACTCGGGGGTTTTCAAAGACAATGCTATTTTTGTAGCCCTAATTTAAAAGCTGATTGCTTTTTTTGTGTTTGAAGTCATGTATTAGCCCTTGAAAAGGGCTGATTGAAAATAATTGGTCAACGATCGTCATTTGTTTTAAAACTTATTAAAAACAAATGACGATCATAATTTGTTTTTAATGTTTTAAAACAAATGATGATCCTTGACCAAGCGTGAGCCAATCTGCGTGCGCCTTTCTCCCACCATGCCGCAACGCAGAACGTGAACATAAAGCTCGTCTCGACAACCAAACGGTACTCTGGTGCAGTCGATGATCAGCTGTCTATAATTCAATATTGGATTTTTAAAACCATTTAAATAGAATTATTTTCAATCAGCCCTTTTC